CGTCTCAAGTTTTCATCCCATTGGACTATGAGAGTGAAGGAATAGAGAGTGCACCTATGTTTGCGTACTGTTTAAAGCTTGAATAAATCATGCTTAGTTAGTATTTTATAGAGCAGAAACTATTCGTTCTAAATACTGTTAGTAAGTCACGAAATAAGTAATAATAACTAACGTCGCTAATATATTTTAGTGGTTGACATTCGCAGAGTCGTGTAATCCAATTAACTAAATTATATAAGAGCTCATTGAGAATTTTATGTCAGCCCGAATTTCTGACTCACAATATATATATTATCAATCGATTAATTGACACTGATCTCATTAAGACTTAAAAACAAGTGAACTGTCCGATGGGGGCTAAGTAATTAACTTAAAATAAATCTAATCTAAAGTGAAAACAACTATACGTCTCTGCTTGTCATTTCATTCACTTATCTTTTGACTTAGTATTTTGTACTTCAAAAATTTTGTTTTTATTTTATAATACAACTGACTTTGAAAATATTGTTTATTTTTAAGGTAGGTGTAAAGAAAAGTAGGCTTGTATATACAATGATAAATTTATTTTGGAATATATTTAAAAATACATCCGATCGAAGAAATTTCGAATCGGCATTTTACTCAAGCCTTTCGAGAAGGAGGAATAAGCGAAACTGGATGCTATAAAAAGCACGAAACATAAGATTAGTGGCTACACTGCTGACTCCTAACTAATCCCTTAAGCTGTCCCGCCATCAACCAGCGCTAAATGAGTATCTGGGTGCCATAGAGGCAAGGCAAGAATCCACCATCCTACTAACGTGGTCAGACTCTTCTAAGTAGTAGGTTTTCTTGTCGACCTAATACTTAGAAGAGTCTGATCACGTTAGTTTTTTAAATGCGAAATCTCACTTTGAAAAAAAAAATCATCACTGAGTTTTTTATTCTGGTTCTTTTTAGAACAGAGGACATTTCAAAACTAGTGGAATATTTAAAAGCATAAAAAATATTTTCAACTGTAGTATTTGTAATCAATGCTATGAAAAATATTCTTTTCTCGTCCTTGTATCTCATAAAATAAGGAAATAGAAGAATTCTTACACTATTTCTAAAGTAGACATCAGTTAGATAATGTCTCGTGTTACGTGTTGGTCCCACTTTCAGCAAAATGCGACATAATGCAGTGGTCGTGTAGGAATGTCACCCGAGCTTTATTTGCATGAGAAGTTTGCGCCCAAGGTGATATATAGTATAAACTATCTACTGAAATAAATTCAGTGTGGCCAGTGAAATGGTACTATTATTCTTTATTGTGGTTCGATATGTAATGTTTTGTTAACTTGATCATAAACAAAAATAAAGAACCCGCAATCCGGGCAGGTCGATTATTAGGGTTCTTGTACACAAAAAGTGTAAAGGTGGACCCACATAAGAAACAAATGAAAACTATAATGAAGGAAATAGTATTTATACCAAGGGTTGGATTTGCGCTACTTGAAAATAAAATCAGACTTTCAACTAGTCATAAAAAAGAAAGTTAATAATATTGGCAGATAATAATGATCGGATTACTTGTTTGGCTTTTGCTCTCAAGTAAAATTAATTAACATTTTCCTAATGACCAACCCTCATTCTAAGTCCTATTAACAGTAACTACACAGACTAATTAACTGGCACGCAACTACGAATAGTTTTGATAAAAATCATTACAACAGTATTCGTTTGATTACTTTTGTTATTAGTTTATTTAAACGCTAATATTACAAATATTTATAGAAACTATTCCACTTCTGATGTTAGAAATTATTCACAAAATTGTTTAAATAAAATAATGTTACTCGTATTAGAATTAACTCTGAAGTGTTAAAATGTTAAAAGTGTGAGAGCAAATGTTCCTCTTTCTATCTTGCCTAAGCAATTATTATTTATTTAATTTATTTCAGGCAGAGCCCATATGTTATATGTATATACATACAAAAAACAAAAGAAAAATTCAAAACATTGCGGGATAGATCCATACAACAACATATAGACTGTTGTGCTGTTATATGGACCCGCACCTACGCTTGTAGAAGTTGCAAATCTCACCGATCAACGAATAGGTAAGAGGGTGGTACTTATCTAGACGGACTCCTAGATAAATAGAATAAATAAACAAACAAGAAATATCAAAGTAATTACCTCAAGAATGTACGTGCAATTACAAAAACACTCAATGATTCTAGCCTATACGGCAATCAGACATATAATATTATTTTAGATATATAATATTAGATATATATATATTTTTTATAGGAGAGGGAGCAACGAGCATGCGGCTTACCTGATGGTAAGTGACTACCGCCGCCCATGAACAACTGCAACACTAGGAGAATCGCAAATGCGTTGCCGGCCTTTTAAAAAGGAGTAAGCTTTGGCTGAAAAGTATGTATGTGGTCTATGGTGCTAAAGCCCTTTCGGAAACCGGCTTCTTCGGGAGGCTGGAAGTCACCAAGTCTGCGCGCGAGACGATTCGTAATGACTCTCGAAAACAGCACGTAGACGCGGCTCAGAAGAGAAATCGGTCTGTAGTTCTTCAAGAGAGCGTTGTCACCTTCCTTGAAGAACAAGACCACCGCACTTCTGCTCCACGCCTCCGGTGTAATGCCACCATAGAGGACGGAATTAAAGAGCTTCTGAAGGACTTCAAGTACCGGTCTCCCACTAGCTTTCAGAAGCTCCGCTGTAATTCCATCCTCACCTGGGGCCTTGCCGTTTTTAAGGTGCTGGGGAGCCATTCTAATCTCGCTCAGACTGACGTCCGGGATATCTTCGGAATAGTGTCGGATAAGACTCGCTCTTGGATCGTTACTCACACTCACGTGTGGCTCCAACGGTGACGTGTACAGCTGCCCATAGTACCTCTCAACCTCACTTGAAATCTCAGGTGCCCCGGAAACGATGCTGCCACACTCGGTCTTCAGCTTTGACAGTTGGCTCTTTCTGGCAGACAGATCTCTGGCAGATTGAAGTTGCGTAAGTCCCGCCGCATGCATTTGGAGATCTGTCTGTACAGTAGCCTGTATGCTGTCAAATCTGTTGAAAAATGTAGCTTCATCTCCCGTCTAACAGCCATGAGATTGAGAGTGTGATCGGAGAGTTTTTGTGTACTTCTGCGGCGGATCTTGCAGAACTTAGCTTCGACCGCATGGACAGTTTCCATGAGCTTGTCATTCATATCGTCCACTTCATTGCAGTCTTCTAGGCACTGAAAACAGTTTTGTAACTCAAGCTGAAAGATTTCGGGACTTTGGAACAGAGCACGGAGCGTTGACTTCATTAGACTAGACCTCTCCAACTTAACGTTTAGGTTCAGTGTGCCTCTAACCATTCGGTGATCGCTACCAGTTTTCACCCTCGCGATCACGGAGACATCACTGAACAGTTGTCGTCTGGTCGTCATAATGAAGTCAATCTCATTTTTTGTGAAACCGTCCGGGCTCGACCAGGTGCACTTCCTGTGGGGCCGCTTCTTGAAGAAAAAGTTCATCATAAAGAGTCTCTCTTTCTCCATGAAGTCGGCCAGCTGCTGGCCCCTTGGGTTCCGTTGCCCTATTCTAAATTTCCCTACTTTCAGCTCACCGTTCTCTCTTGTGCCTAGTTTTGCATTGAAGTCGCCCATTAACACCGTATATTGGGTTTTGGAGGAATGCATGGATCTAGAGACATCCTCATACATTTCCTTCACCTCCTTATCGGGGTGTGCCGAGGTCTGTGCGTAAACCTGTATGACCTTCAGCGAATACCTTTGATGATTCTGAGTATATTGTGGTATTATTGTGGACGATAAATCCGACACCTCCTTGGGACAGATGGTCGCCCTCCCGTTGATAGAGCAAGTTGCCGGATTCGAGGATTACCATGTGGCAACCGAACCTCCACCGGAGATTCTTAGCACCCCCTGCCCCACCGTTACCATGGTCGCCACCATAGCCAGGAATAGCGGGGCCGCCGGGGACTGGGGGCCGTTTCTTTATTATTCTCATTATAGGGGGGGGGGGTATTTGCCATAGTTGCCACGCCTGGTGAGTGGGTTGGCAACCGTAGTTTTTTTTTCATTGAAAGTTTGTTGTTATCAGGAAGATGCTGCTGCCCATCTCCTGCCTGTCTCCCTTTGTCTTCTTTTACGATACCCGCGGGAAGATATGGGGTAGTGGATATTCTTAACCGCCACTACACGGCACAAATTAAACTCACTTATTACGCCCTTGCGAGAAAGAAAGGAAATTCAAGTTACCCACGCTAGAGATTAAAAAATTTGACGGCCATATTAAAAAATTGGTAAAGTTTTTGGGGACAATTCAACAAAGTAAATGCCGATCCCAACATATAAGACACAGACAAACTTCAGTACTTGTCACAATGCATGGAGTCTGAGACGGAGGTAAGATCATTCGTAGTTAGTTTTCCTATTTCGAAGGAGAGTTACACGTTATGTCTAAACGAGCTCAAATCCCGATACGCTCGCGAAAATTTGCTGATCCAAATGTATGTGAAAGAGCTACTATCACTCATACTGACTCAGAAAAATAATTTTGATCTTACATCACTATATGATAATGTGAACAGTCACCTTCGATCGCTGGAAGTACTGAATGTGACAAAAGAAAAATACTCTGCATTTCTACCACCTCCGGTTGAGTTTGCATTACCATCAGAGATTTTAAAAGCTTAGGAATGAAGCAAACCAGGTCATACTAAAGACGAGTTAAACTGTCCTGACTGTCCAATTTCTCAAGAAAGATGTTGAAAGTAACCAACGAATTGAGTTAGCCACTACATTTAAAATTGATCAAAGATGTAAACAAGAACCAACGGCCGCATGTTTTACTGTACAAAACAGAATTGAAGAAAAAAAAAACAAAATAAATACAGTGCATCTGGTGTAATAAAGGACATTCAAGTACAGAATGCTTCAATATAGCTAGAATGACAATTGATGAGAGGCGAGAACATTTAAAGAAGATTAAATCTTGCATGTTATGCTTAAAAATATTACACCATACAAAGAGTTGCAAGAACTAAATCAAATTTTATGTGTGTCACTCGCCAATACTAGAGCTGGAGTTACTACTAGCAGCAAGAAGCCTGATGAAAAGCCGTCTATTCAAAACCATGCTCAAAACTCATCGGAAAGCACCTTACTGCAAACACTACCAGTGAAGATAAACCATGGCGAGAGAAGTGTTATAGTGAGAGCGCTATTTGATAGTGGGTACCAGCGTTCATATGTCAAGAAAGAAGAAATCAAGGAATTGAGAGCGCTACCATCGGGAAAAGAAGAACTTAATCACTCACTATTCGGCGGTGTGTCTGTAGCAACACAGCAATATGACTGTAACAATTTCACAGTTTATAGCATAGATAACACATTAAAATTTGATATGTTTGCTTTGGATTTAGTAACAATATGTAAGAATGTGCCTAAAGTAAATAATAAGTCTTTCTGAGCTGCTTATCAAAAATAAAATTAAACAGATGGACAAGATAGAGGATACAGAAGTAGGCCTTTTGATAGGTGTAGATTTTGCTGGTATTTTACTAACAAATCAATTTGGTCATTTAGATAATAGTTTGACAGCCATTAACACTAACTTTGGTTGGACTGTAATGGGGAAAACAAAAACACAGAACACTACAACCAATACTAATATTGTAACATCTATGTTTTGTGTACAAAATATGTCTGATTTTTGGAATTTAGAAATTATAGGTATCCAAGATCCAGGTCAGGTGCAATCCAAACTACAGAAGGAGGAAGAGGCGATGAACAACTTTGAAGACAGCGTCCAGGTGAATGATGAAGGCAGGTACGAAGTCCATATCCGATGGAAGGCAGGCCACGATGATCTGATGAGCAATCTGGAACTGGCGAAGCACCGACTGCAAGCTACAATAAACAAGTTGGTTTTATCTGGTAAGATTAATGATTATGATATTATTATTAAAGAATGGGAGCAAATGGGTATCATAGAACAAGTACCTGATTCTGAGAGAAGCAAAGACCATGATGTTCACTACTTACCTCATAGGGATATAACAACAGAGACCAGTCTTACCACCAAACTGCGACCTGTTTATGGTGCATCTGCAAAGGATAAAAATGGTAAGTCATTGAATACATGCCTAGACAAAGTAATCAATTTTTTGGATAAAATACCTGATCTCTTGGTTGGCTTTCGTAAAAGTGGTATAGGAATAACCGGAGATATCGCACGAGCATTCTTACAAATATCAGTTAGCCCGGAAGACAGAGATTATTTGAGATTTTTATCGTAGAAAGACGAGGCGCGACACGATACCGTGGAGTATAGACATTGTAGAGTCGTATTTGGATGAACGTCGAGTCCATTCTTGCTGTCTGCTACTACCTCTAAAATATAAATGATGCTAAGAAAAATACTGCTGATATATTAGCTAGGTCCTTTTATGTTGATAATCTAGTAACGAGTTTAGACTCGGAACAGGCCACGCGAGACTTTATGCAGGAGGCGAAGAGCATCATGAAAGAGGCGAAGTTCGATTTAAGGCAGTGGGCTTGTTCTCCACTAAATATTAATGAAACGAATGAAACAATTATTTCAGTATTGGGGCTACTATGGGATACTGCATCAGATGAGCTTGCCTTCAACTTAAATGCGTTACCAGATCCACAAGAGATCGATAAAATTAATAAAAGAGTTATTTTATCACTTACTCAAAAGATTTTTGATCAAATTTGAATGCTGAGCCCTGTAACACTGGTTCCAAGATTAATATTACAAGAGATCTGGAACAGAAAGATTACATGGAACGCTAATTTACCTAATGATATTTTATCATAATTTCATGACTGGTATGATAACATTACTTATTTGAAAAACTGCAGGTTACCCTGACGACTGACATTTGAGCGATTGCGGGACTGCGACGTGACCCTCCACATGTTTTACGTCGCTAGTAAGACAGGCTACGCAGCCTGCGTGTTTCTCAGAACTAAAAACAAAGGTAATGTGACAGTCCGATTAATATTGACAAGTCAAGAATCGCACCGCCAGAGAAAATAACCATACCACGCCTAGAATTATTATCAGCACTAGTAGGCTCAAGGTTGATAGCGGCGGCTAGAAAGTTTCTTCAGTTGAAAGGTTGCAAAAAATTCTGTTGGACCGATTTAGGAGTAGCATTATGCTGGATAAAACGAAAGCTATTATGAACACATATGTAGGCAACCGTGTAAAAGAAATAAGACAAAATACTGATACCAACAATTGGAAACACATTCCAGGTATCGAAAACTGGGCGGATCTGGCATCGAGGGGGTGCAACGCACGTCAGCTGCTGGAGTCCAAGTGGTGGGAAGGTCCACCATGGCTACTACAAACACCAGAAACGTGGCCACATTCAGCACTGATCGTGGATGAAAAAGAAGCCAATAAAGAGCTCAACAAGACCACCCAGACAAATACCGAACAGTTACTTACCAATTTTGCAGAGAATTTGAATACTCCTATAGTGATCTCTGCGAAGAATGAAGTCGTTTGGCGTATGGTTGAGCAGCGTCACGTTCAACTTCTACACGCTGGCACTAACATCATGATTGCTGACTTGAGGAAGAGATTTTGGATCATTGGGATCAGGAGATTGGTGAAGTCGATTATAGATAAATGCATGGTTTGTAAAAGACACAAAGCGAAACCCACACAAACAAGTACAGCGCCAGTGTCTATAGAGCGGATACAACCAAACGTGCCATTTCAAGTTACTGGCGTCGACCTTGCAGGCCCGCTATATTTACTCAACGGCGAGAAATGCTGTGCAGTATACCGTGCAGTACATTTAGAATTAACACAATCTTTGTCAACAGATGTTTTTTTAAGAACCTTTAGGAGATTCATTGCTCGTTGAGGACGTGTCGAAATGATAATATCCGACAATGACACTAATTTCACAGGAACTAAAAACCAGCTTTCAAACCTCGACTGGGATGTAATAAAACGCCAATCCACGATTCTACGCATTAAATGGAAAGTAAACGCGCCCACGGCGGTGTGGTGGGGCGGTTTCTTCGAATGTTGTGCGAGGAAGAAAACTTCTTGTAAATCGCAAAGCGAAGGACCGCCAATCGTATATCTAGTGAACTGCTTGTAACTTTGTTCAAAATAATGAATTGTAATGATTTTAGGGTAAAAGATTTTAAAGAGGCTCCATCTGTCCATCCATTAAAGCCTACTAAATTCCACTGCTGAACCTAGCTCACCCGTAGATTTTCTCATAGGGGATTTTACCATAGTTGCAACGATTGGCTAACTGGTTGGCAACTGCAGTTTTTTTAAATTTTGAGTAGTAATCAAAAAATGGAAAATGCTGCCACACATCTCCTGTTTTAGTTTCCTCCTGTTGTCTTTTACGGCACCCACGGGACGATATAATGACTTAATAAAAAAATTATGGTTGTAACGCTCAATGTTGTCACTGAGTAAAGAGAAGTAGGGCAAAACAAAGTGAAAGATATCTAATCCAAAAATATCTCCCTGAACTTTTACATTTGACAGCAGTGAAATGTTGACGTTTTTAAGCGTGACACAATACTGGTGAATCGCACCCATGCAAATCCAAGGCCCCTAGTGTCTATAATGAATTTCTGTAATGTATATAATACATTGCAAAACATTCAGGTGAAAGCTATATTCGCTTTGGTTTATTAACCTTACAACTGTGTACTGTCAAAGGCCGCATTTGTCAGGTGTGTGCAACCGGCTCCCGGTCGCAACACAGTCAGGGTTTGTGGAGGGCAATTATTTCACTCCAACTGGAATATTTCTAATTCTAATTAAAATTATGGATATTTATTAGTAAAGTATGACTCTAGTATAACGATTCCACAAATTTTATTCAATTTCTTTATCAGTAGTGTTTAGGCCAAATAATTAATATTGTAAAAACTTGGATTCAAGACGCGTGTCTCGGCGTTTTCGCCCGATGGAATTTAAAGGTCACCTCCGGCCCCGGAGGTGACCTTTACACTCTCTCGGGCGGTTCTCTCGGCCGAGCGCTCAGTCGCTCGACGCGTGGGTGAAGTTAGTATTGTTTGCGACCGTTAGTTGGTTGGGCGCGTACGCCGAGTCGATAAGACTGTCTGGGAGATTGTCCCGCGATGGCCGGTCGCGTGCCCCTCATTGAGTTGTCTAATTTATACGTTTCGTGACAATGGGCTTATATTACTTTTTGAGAGATTAATTCAAATTCGATTGTCATGAATCGGTGTCGAAGAGACGGCCTGGAAATTTGCGCTCAGAATAGCCTCTAATAGCGTTGTATAATCTCGTATGTTTTACGTGGCAACGAAGCTAGTCGTGCTTTGTGGCATTTTAATATCGTGCGAAAGAATTTTACTTTGTCGTGTAGAACGCTGAACTTTGTGACTCGAGAAGAGATCGCGTTTGTGCTTGATAATAATTTGTTGCTAATTGAACATGGAATATTGAACTTTGACCGACCGTTCTTAAGTTGTGCCGTGTGTCACTTGTTTTAATTTCGGTTAACGTGGATTTAGTTAAATTTGAAGTTAATTAAATGTATAATAAAGTTGATAAACTAATATAGTGAAATAAAAGTTGAAAGTTTCAATTGGTGAACGCCCACTTGAGTGATCGCACATTGTGGAGAAAAGCAGCGCCTGTGGGTCTGCTCTCGAAATGCATCGGACGTCAGGTTACATTTACACACTTTACATCCACTTACTTACCACCTGACGGTGCCCTGTGGTCGACCCTACCTCCGGAACTCGGTAAGTTTTGTTTGCTTGTCAGTCGTTTTATAATAATAATCCATAGGCCATTGGACCCGAACTCTCTGGTTGCTTGTCGAGTGTATTACTAATGGGCCCTAATACAGTCGACTTCTGTCTGGGCAACTGAGAGCCGTAACACTTTCTGGTATCAGAGCATGGTTGATTGCTTCTCCAATCACGCCCGGCCGTAATAAATATTTTTTGTGTTTTGCTAAAGCAGCTTGCTAAAGCATTGTCATGCACTAATCAAAATTGTTTCACTAATAGTGAAAATAGTTTTCAAAAACTATTTACTTTCGCGTATTCCCATTTTCATTTTGATAAAACAATAAATAAATCAATTACGTCTCAACTGAAAGAGACATATTTTCAAAATTTGGATTACCCGATTAATACTTATTTATCTCGACCACGTCCTAAATTTGATTTAAAAAAAATAGTTGACTCGAAAGTAATGGATGGCGACTTAAAAAATGCATCCCGTATTTTATTCTCAGACGACATCCTGGCTCCTCGTAATGTCGAAACTCTTGAAAGCCTTCGTCAAAAGCATCCTTCGGTCAAACCGTCTCAGGGTTTACCGCTGCCTCCCAAGACTTCTATGCAACCTTTACAAATTTCGGAAAAAGACACTTTAGAAGCAATTATGTCATTTTCGAATGGCTCTGCTGGCGGCAT